ATAAGTTCTTCAGAGAGAATAAAAATGCTACAAATTAGAAACTTGAATCTACTTAAAGAAAGGAACAGAATTAGAGACGGAATAAATGAAGGTAAACATTTCAATTTTCTTTATTCTTAATCGACTTAACAACTTATTCTAATAACAATAGCAGCAATGTATTCAATTTTAGTGTGTGTTGTGTGGAATGAATTTCAGCAATGATACAAGGGATGAGAGGGATTAATTAGGAATACAGGTGGCCCTTGCACAATACAAGTATAAACTCTGTGTGTCTGTTAATACGTGATTTTTTTTATTATATTAGGACAACTTTTGGAGATTTTTAAAAATTTGAAACATTCACATATGTACTGTATAACCTAAAATATTTTAAAAAATAAGAAAAATTTAGGTATGTTGTGAATAACAGTATATAATACATATAAAATATGAGATATATGTTAATCAACTGTTTATGTTATTGCTAAGGCTTCCAGTTAATAGTAGAATATCAGTAGTTAAATTTTGGGTAAGTCAAAATTGAGACATGGATTTTTGGCTGCATGTAGGTTGGCACCCTTAATTCTCATGCTGTTCAAGGCTCAACTGTACTTTGTTATTAGAAGGTACTTGAAGTACTAATGAAGCAGTACTACATTATTTGAAAGTGGACTTATATTAATTGTAAATGCATATTGCAAACTATAGGGCAAACAGTAAAAAAAACAAACAAAAATACAATATAATTGTTATGCAAAGAAAGTTGCAAAATTGGAATCACATGAAATGATCAATTAAAGCCATTGAAGGCAGAAAAGAGTGGAAAACAAAAAATTAATGGAGAACAACGGCAATAAACAGAAAACAGTAGTAAATATGTTAGATATTAATCAAACTCTTACCAATAATAATTTTAAGCATATACTATTTTGTGGACGAAAGGGGCCACATGCTGACCTGACAAGCTCAGGGGAGGCCTGCATGGTGATCTTGCAAACTCAGAGACCTAAAGTAACCACAAAGGATGGTCTGAAATTAAACTTTAACTAAAAGCAGTTATGGTGGGCAGTTACGTCCTAGGCCAGTATCTTCACTGACAAGGTTAATCTTTACCTTAACTAAGCCTTTCTGTCTTTTTGCATCTATGGTAACATACCTTGAAATGTCTGGGTAACTTGTAACTTCCCTTTTTCTGGAGCCCCTGGGGCACAACCTAATGTTCTCTGAGCCAGGACAGATACCACAAATTCCTTCATTATCATGTTAATTGATTCTGTACCCACTTAAGTATGTGTCCATCATTTTACTTTTTATCCAATCCCAGGGGTTTCCCCTGCTTTGCTTTATCCCTCCTCCTTAATCTATCACCGATGAATTTCATGTAACCCACCTATGTCCCTCCTTTGATTGCAAATGTATAAATACAAATGTACCCCTGCCATTCTCCAGAGCATTATCTCAATTCGTTGAGGTTCTGCTTCTGGGCATATGCCGACAGTTTGGCTCAAATGAACTCACAAAAATTCTTTACAGGTTTCAATGGTTTTTTTTACGTTAACAATATAAATACACCAATTAAAAGACAGAGAATGTCACAGCGAATCAATAAGCAAGACTAAAGTAAGTGTTTTCTCCCAGCGGAAAAATGGAGACTGGCAAGACTGCAGGGAGAGAGAGTGTGAGAGAGTAAGGGAGCAAAAGGGGAGTGTGTGGACCTGTGTGGTGAGTGTGTGTGTGAGCCAGGGACAGTTAGAACCTGCAGGACTTTCAGGGGCTGGTGGATCAGGTGGTTTTAGACTGCAAGACCCCACTGCTGCTGCTGCAAACACTCCTGGACAGCCGGCACTGGCACAGAAACCACACCATCTTGAAGGTCAGAACTGCAGTGACTAGGATTCTAGCCTCACCACCACCTAGACTGGTCTCAGATGCAAATGGGGACCCTACAGCTACTCTGGACAAAGACCTGCTACCAAAGCTGCAGACCCAGGGACACCCAGACTCCAGACATCCCAGACGCAGATTTCTGTGAGTCACAGAGAGCATCCCCCTCCCTGCTGGCAGCCTGCAGCAGCGGCATAGGGCCTGCATGACTCATGGCATGCAAGCAGGTCTCCTGCCAACACCTGGTGGCTGTGCAACCCTCCCCCACTAGCAGGCCAGGGACTTTGATTATCAGAGCATGCACTGAAGGCCTCACTGAGCACCAGGGACTTTGATTCTTGGTGCATGCAAGTGGGGACTCTGTTTCTTATCATGCATACAGACACAGGGACTCTGAGTATTGGTGTGTGCAGACTGATTGTTGGCGCCAAGTGAGGCAGTACTGAACACCACTAACTGATTCTTGGAGCATACACTCGGGCACTCTGTTTCTTGTGAGCATGCACGGGGACTCCCACACTGAGTGCAGGTGACTTTTGTTAGGTTAGGTGGCTCAGGAGGTGGCACAAGAAATAGAGACTCCAGTGAATCAGAAAAGAAAGGAAAGGAAAAGGTTTATTTCTGCGTCCCCAGGAGACCCACGTACCCCCAAAGATAGGGCACGTGGATTCACCCCAACAGGGAGGGGGGCGCTTTTTTTATACTGCAGTTGGGTGAGGGGCGGGGACATGAACTGAGGTATTCTCTGCTGCAGGGGATGGGCGGGGGTATGTGGATTAAGGGAGAAGAAGCCAGTATCTGTGTCTGGCACCTTGATCTGTGAGAAATTCCAGGGGAAGTCCATTATCTTGTCACATGTGGGCATGTATCCGATCCTGGGCTCTCTCCGACCTAACAACTATGATTCTGGGTGTATGCATGCAGGAACTCTGTTTCTCATTGTGCACCCATAGGGACTGTGATTCTTGGAGCGTGCACAAGGCTGCACTAGGCATCAGAGACTGATTCTCAGTTCTTGGCATGTGCATGCGGGGACCCTGATTCTAGGAGTGTGTGCAAAGCCACACCGAGTGCCAGTGACTCAGATTCTCAGAAGGTGTGTGGAGACCCTGATTCTCGGCACATGCACGAGGCCATACTGTATGCCCGTGACTCTAATTCTCAGTGCAGGCATGCTGGGAATCCGATTCTCGGTGCACACAACTCCCGCAAACCATGGCAACCACATGTCTTGGTGTCTGAGCTCTTCAGTGATGCTTGGGAGGTGAGATGCTCCTGCTTCACATGACTCAGGCCCTGGCAATTTGGCACTTGGACCTTCTGGTGGTAGCTAGAATGGGAAGACAATGAAACAATTCCCAAGGCGGAAGGGGACGGGGGAAGGAATCACTAAGAAAGGAAATAAGTGAAATGGAGGCTTGCAATCAAAAAAAGAATTCAGAGTAATGGTCATACAGTCAATAAACCGGATGACTGAGAAAATCGACAACCTATGCAAAAATCAGGAAGAAATCAAAAGTGATATAGCTGCAATAAAAAACATGATGAAAGGTTTCAAAAGTGGACTAGAAGAAGCAAAGGACCAAATTAATGAGTTAGAAAATAAAGTAGAAAAACAAGCCTAATCTGAACAGCAACTAGAGAAAAAAGTTAAAAAGCAGGAGAGCCTAAAGAAGCTTTGTGACAACGTGAAACAAACTAATATACATATAATAGGGGTACCAGAAGGACAAGAAGAGCAGAAATGATTAGAGAATCTCTTTGAAGAAATAATGACAGAAAACTTCCCTGATATGAGGAAGGAAAAAGTCACACAAGTACAGAGAGTCCCAAGCAAGATGAACCCCAAAAGACCCACAGCAAGACACATCATAATTACAATGGCAAACTTTAATGACAAAGAGGAAATCTTAAAAGCTGCAAGAGAGAAACGGAGAGTTACCTACAAAGGATCCCCCTTCAGATTATCAAATGATTTCTCAACAGAAACACATGAAGCTAGAAGGGAATGGAATGAAGTGTACAAAGTGATACAGAGAAAAGGACTGAATCCAAGAATACTCTATCCAGCAAGACTATCAATCAAAATAGAAGGGGAAATCAGGAGCCTGGCAGACAAAAAAAAATGCTAAGGGAGTTTATCACTACCAAGCCAGCAATGCTAGAAATGCTAAAGGGAATGCTGTGAAAAGAAGAAATAGACAGGGAGGAAGGAACTCAGTAAAAAGAAGAAATAGAAAGGGAGGAAGGAACACAGGAATAAATAATAGAAATGGCTACAAACACGTACCTATCAATAATAACATTAAATGTAAATGGATTAAATGCACCAATCAGAAGCCAATGAGTGACTGAATAGATAAGAAAACATGACCCATATATATGCTGTCTATAGGAACCCACCTCAGAATAAGGGACTCACACAGATTAAAAAAGAAGTGGTGGAAAAATATCTGGCAAATGGAAAAACAAAAACAAAAAACTGGGGTAGCAATACTTATATCTCACGAAATAAACCTCAAAGTGAAGGCCATAACAAAAGACAAGAAAGTCCACTTCATAATACTAAAGGGATCGATACAACAAGAGGATATAACTCTGGTAAACATATATGCACCCAATGCAGGAGCACCAAAATACATTAAAAAAAAAAAAAAAAAAAAACTTCTGGAAGATATCAGGGGAGAGATTGGCAGCAATACAATCATAGTAGGAGACTTTTATATCCCACTAAAATCACTGGATAAATCCTCTAGACTAAAACTAAAAAAAAAAAAAAAAATCAGCAAACAAATAACAATCCTAAATGACTCACTAGATCAGATGGACTTAATTGACATCGTTAGAACATTCCATCTAAAAACTACAGAAGATACATTCTTCTCAAGTGCTCGTGGGACATTTTCAAAGATGGACCAAATATTGGGACACAGGCAAAGTCTGTCCAAATTCAAGAAGATTGAAATCATATCAAGCATTTTCTCATCACAATGGCATAATATTAGAAATCAACTACAATAAAAAAAATCAAAAATTCAAACACTTGGAGGCTGAATAACATATTATTAAACAATGATAAGGCTACCAAAGAGATAAAAGAAGAAATAAAAAAAAATCCTGTAAACAAACAACAATGAAAACACAACAATTCAAAATCTATGGGACACAGTGAAAGTAGTCCTGAGAGGGAAGTTCATAGCTCTACAGGAACACTGTAAAGCTCTTTCTATGAAGCCAGCATTATCCTAATCCCAAAACCAGATAAAGACAATACAAAGAAAGATAATTATAGGCCAATATCCCTCATGAATACAGACATCAACATTTTCCACTAAATTCTAGCAAATTGAATCCAGCATTACATTAGAAAGATTATACACCATGACCAAGTAGGATGAATCCCAGGGATGCAAGGATGGTACAATATCCACAAATCAATAAATGTGATACACCACATAAATGAATTGAGAGATAAAAACCATATAATCATATCAATTGATGCAGGAAAAGCATTTGACAAAATCCAACAACTATTCATGATAAAAACTCTCAGCAAGGTGGGAATAGAAGGATCATACCTCAACATAATAAAAGCCATATATGACAAACCTATAGCCAGCATCATACTCAATGGGCAAAAACTAAAACCATTTCCCCTAAGAACAGGAATGAGAAAGGGATACCCACTTTCACCATTCCTGTTCAGCATAGTACTGTAGGTACTAGTAATGGCAATCAGACAAGAAGAAGAAATAAAAGGCATCCAAATTGGAAAAGAAGAAGTAAAATTGTCATCATTCACAGATGACATGATATTGTACATAGAAAATCTTAAAGACTCCATCAAAAAAAGTACTGGACTTAATAAATGAAGTCAACAATGTAGCAGGATACAAAATTAACACCCACAAGTCTCTCGATTTTTTATACACCAATAATGAACTCTCAGAAAGAGAAACCAAAAAAATTCCATTTATCATTGCAACAAAAAAATTAAGATACCTCAAAATAAATTTAATCAAGGAGGTAAAAGATGTGTACTCATAAAATTACAGGACACTGAAAAAAGAGATAGAGAAAGACATAAACAAATGGAACAACATACCATGTTCATGGATTGGTAGAATAAAGATCATTAAAATGTCCATATTACCCAAAGCAATCTATAAATTCAATGCAATCCCTATTAATATACCAATGGCAGACTTCAACGACCTAGAAAAAAATTCTCCAAAAATTCATCTGGAATAAAAAAGGACACTGAATTGCTGCAGCAATATTGAAAAAAAAAAGAACAAAGTTGGAGGGATCACAATACAGTATATCAAGATATGCTACAAATCCACTGCTCTCAAAACTACCTGGTGCTGGCACAAGAACAGACATATAGACCAGCAGAACAGAACAGAGAACCCAGAAATTGACAAAAGCCATTATGCTCAATTAATATTTGAGAAAGGAGGCAAGAGCATACAATGGAGTCAAGACAGTCTCTTCAATAAATGGTGCTGGGGAAATTCGACAGATGCCTGAAGAAAAAATGAAACTACACCAACAACTTACACCATACACAAAAATAAACTCAAAATGGATAAAGGACTTAAACATAAGACGGGAATCCATAAAAATCTTAGAAGAAGCCAAGCAGCAAAATATCAGACATATGTCCTAGCAATATCTTTGCTGACACAACTCCTAGATCAACGGAAACTAAGGAGAAAATAAACAAATTGGGCTACATCAAAATAAAAAGCTCTTGCACAGCAAAGGAAACCATCAACAAAACAACAAGAAAGCCCACTGAATGGGTGATCATATTTGCCAATGCTATCTCTCATAAGGGTTTAATATCCAAAATTTATAGGGGACTCATAGAACTTAACAGTCATCTGCGAGATGCAAATCAAAACAACAATGAGGTACCATCTCACACCTGACAGAATGGCTATAATCAACAAATTGACAAAGGACAAGTGCTGGAGAGGATGAGGAAAAAAAGGAACCCTCCTTCACTGCTGGTGGGAATGCAGACTGGTGCAGCCACTGTGGAAAACAGTATGACGTCTCCTAAAAAAAAAAAAAAAAAAGGCACTCCCATTTGACCCAGTGGTCCCACTTCTAGGAATATATCCCAAGAAAACAGAAACACCAATCAGAAATGATATATGCACCCCTATGTTCATAGCAGCACAATTTACAATAGCTAAGATCTGGAAACAACCTAAATGCCCTTCAGCAAATGAGTGGATGAGAAAACTGTGGTACATCTACACAATGGAATACTGCACTGCTGTAAAAAAGAAGATATTCTTACCATCCATTTGCAACAGCATGGATGGAACTGGAGAAAAGAAACTAAGTTAAATACAATGAAACTTATTTATTAAAACTAAAGGGATTAATAATTATATAGTATACTAACACTAATCAAAAGAAAGCAGGAGTAATTAAAGTACTTTCAGAGAGAGCCAACTTCAGAGCTAGAAAAATTATCAGGAACAAAGAAAGGCATTTCATAATGATAAAAGGATAATTCTCTAAGAAGGCATCACATTCCTAAATTTATGTCCAACGAACAACCAAGTGTCTGAATCTATATAGTGAAAACTGATAGATATGCAAGAAAAAATAAATAAATAGATCATAGTAGCTGGTGAGTTTATAATTCCTCTATCAGTAATGGGCAGATCCAGCAGACAGAAAATCAGTAAGAACAAAGTTGAACTCAATAGCACCATTAATTAGCTGGATCTAATTGATATCTATAGAATAATTCATTCAAAAATAAAATGAGAGGAGGGGGAAGGTGGGGACAGGATATATCTGTAATACTATCAACAATAAGAAATCGATTTGAAAATTAAAAAAAGAAACCACTAATAAAATATAATAAAAACCTACAAAACCAAAATATACATTCTTTTTAACCTCACATGAATATTCACTAAGATAGGCCACATTTGGGGCCATAAAATAGACCTTAACAGTTTTAAAAGAATTGGTATAATACAAAATATGATCTCTGACCACAGTATTAAAGCTAGAAACCAATTACAGGAAGATATCTGGAAAATCCCAAATACATGGACATTAAACAACACATTTCCAATAATACATGTGTCAAAGAAAAAATCTCAAGACGTGTTTAAAATGCTTTACTTTATCAAAAATGATACTACAACTTAAAATATGTTAGATACAAAAAGTCATTACTCAGAGTAAAATGTATAGCATCCAACGCCTAGAGAACAGAAATAAAAGGTTTAAAATCAATAATCTAATCTTCTACCTTAGGAAACTAGAAAGAGAAGAGAAAATTAAATCCAAAGTAAACAGAAAAAAATGAAATAAGGAAAATTAGAGCAGATGTTAGAAAATGAGAAGTCAATAGAGAAAATCAGCAAAACCAAAGCCTATCTCTTTAAAAAGTTCAGTATAATTAATTAGCTTCTAGCTAGGCTACATAAGAAAACACACACACACACACACACACACACACACACACACAATGCTAATTTCCAAAATGAACACGAGAAAATATTTTACTGACCACGTTTATAATGAAAGAAAATCATGTTGCACGGTCGAAAGAATAATAAAGCTGTAAAAAAGAAGATATTCTTACCATCCATTTGCAACAGCATGGAGGGAACTGGAGAACATTATGCTAAGCGAAATAAGCCAGTCAGAGAAAGATAAATATCACATGATCTCACTCATTTGTGGAATATAATGAACAGCATAAACTGATGAACAAAAATACATACAGAGACTAAGAAGCATGGAACAGACAGTCAAACTACAGCGGGAAAGCAGATGTAGGTTTGGAGGGTAAGAGATCAACTGAAGGAATTGTATGCATTCATATAAGGATAACCAATGGACACAATCATTGGGGCTGGGGTGAGGGCATGTGCCAGGAGGTAGTGGAGGCCAGGAGGAAGTCAATGGGTGAAAAAGGAGAAATATATATATATAT